AATTAAACAAATTTATCTAGGGTATTGAAGCTGCTGTTAAATTGTTCTTTAATTTTGGTGGCCATTTTAAAAAGCGCCCTCAATTGCCTCTCGAAATCTTCACATTAATAACTATAGCTAGTTATACTTTACTCCTATCATTACATATTCAAAAGATGGTCAAACCTACCTCTTCTGTGCTTATTTTACCCATATATACAGTATGTAGTTTACTGGATTTTGGCGGCCATTTTGAAAAAAGCGCCCTCACACGAAAGTTCTCAGGTTATGCCTCTTTTACCTCACATATTCTGATTCCCCATGAAAAACTGATCTAGAAAAACCATATGAGAATTTCTACCTCTCCAAGTGGCACCTATCTCAATTATAGCCTGGTCTATATATATATATACATGTGTGTGTGTATATATATATATATATATATATATATATATATATATATAGACATATATAGACATATATGTATGTGTGTATGTGTATACGCGTATGTATGCGTGTATATATATATGTATATAGGGTCAAAACCACTAAAAACTGCCAATTCACTTTTCAAAAATTTTGAGAAAAAAAAAATCAAATCAAAATTGTCTTAATAACTCAAAAAATTAATTATGAAAATTTGGACAAAGATTCAGAAAAAAAAGAACATGTAATCTTGTCAACTTTTATTTTTGTCACCAACATTAAGAAACAGTTACAATTTATTAATGAAACCTATGTTACGATGCGTTTTTAAAATAACATTCTTTTATTTTCATGTAATTAATTCACATTGCCAATATTATTTCACTGTTGATATGTACAATAGTGTGGAGACCGTTATCTTATAATCACAATCTTTTGTTTCTTTCGCGTAATTTTATATTTTTGTGATGGTAAATTTAAAGGTAAGCGCATAAAAATCACATACAACTTTTTATATTATTCCAATGATATATATTTTAAACTGTTTAGTTACGAACTACAAGATTATAACTTTTATGTATTTTGAACCTGTAATCAAAAGGTTCTTAGTTAAACATTCCAAAAAAAAACTGTAGCAGTGTAAAAACTGGTAACGAATGTTACAAAGAAGTGTAACGTATGTTACAATAATAACTCAAGCAAAAGCACTCATGAAATTTAAAATATTTCAAAATTGTGAAGTGCTAAAATTTTTTAAAACTGTCAAAAACACTGTTGTCTTCAAAAAAATCTAGTATATGGCACCAATATTAAACAAACCCGAATAAAAAGAATCCTAGTATAGAAACACATCCAGGATTTAAGCAATACGCATATACACACCACCAACATACTTTTGGGAATGCAATTACCATATAACCTCATATTTAACTATTGAAAATTTACTTCACATTAACCAGGTTCATGTTTTTTTTAACTTCCGAAAGAATATGGAAAAATAGACATTTAAAAATGGTAACGCATGTTTTAACATTGTTAATATTCAAAATTTACCAGCTGTGTTCATTGGACCTCCTTTTCATATAATTTTAAGCCAGTTATATAATTATTTATTTATTTTAAGTATAGCCTTAAATCCATGTAGAACCATCTGCATTTTATCCCATATGCAGAAAGAAAGTGTAATCTAATATATTTACTATAGTTAATTATTATTGTAGTTAACCAAACTACGTGGCAAAAATGACCTGTTTTCTATTGCATTCAATAGATATTAAAAACTGTACTGCATAATAACAGTGTCTATGCCACTATTCCCCCTCCCCCCTCCCCACTTTGCAATAATAACCCATTGCTTTTCTATAAGGAATAGGGTAACGTATGTTTCTTGGTTTTCATCATAATTTGTCAGCACATTTTGTGATCATTGTCTATATCAGAAAAGCTTAGAATTTAGTTATTTATACTATTTAAAGTCAGAATATTATCAATCAATCTTAACAACTGTTAAAACGTAGTCAAACGCACATAACTATTAATCCGGTTTTCATAAAGAGAACAAAAAAACAATCAACAGCGAAATTACACTTTTTAAAATAAACACCAGATCCAGTTTAACAGGAGTTTGCGGTTAATAACGCATAACTCTCTGTAATACTGACAGCCTGGTCATTGGCTATTCCAAATAGCTGTTGTGATAGTCGCTTTGGCTCTTGGATTTTACACAGAATATTTTCATGCGAAACCCATTATCATCTTTATTGGAAGGCCATTTGAATGTGTTCCTCTGAATATTAGAACCTGCCATTATAAAGCTTATAAACACATCCTCGTCGTCCTGCTCAATGACTTTCCCTATGTACCAGTCACCCTTGTAGACAGCTGCAACCCAGTCATCTGGGTTGTATGTAGGCTCCCGAATGTTGGTTTCAGGTGAGTGTAAAACTATTTTACATCCATTTTACACCCATCCATCACACATTGACATTGCTTGTTGGTTGGCTATTACAGCCCTACACTTATCGCAATAACAAGATAGATTACGAATCATAACTTTATTGTCACCAATTCCAATAACTGCGTGCAGATTCATAGTACCTGGTTTTAACTGAGGCCCAATTGTCATTAATTTCCTAGACGTTTAGTGCACAGTCATCTTTACTAATCCAGCAATAAGTAATGTTACCAGTTTCATGTTCTTGCGACGACCATGTGTAGAAGTCATATGAATCCTGAATTACCGTGGCCCCTCTTTTTACGGCATCATCTGCCAGCCGTTTTACGGTCCCACCGATGCCATCACACGGCCCTTTACCATGGCCAGCTTCAAAATAGTTCCATGTTGCCCAGACCCCGAACATCTGATAGTGTTCACTAACCACAGAATAAATGGTTTTATTTCGATACTGTGCAGTTGGGCTGTCCAGTAATGGACGCGTTTGAGGTCTGGCACCACCCCATTCTTCAAAGTGAATTGATTCATTTTTCTTAGGCCCATTTTTATGACTATCCATCATTTTATGGATTTCAGCATCATCATTGCTATTGATGAATTCATCTGGATTTGTGTTGCTTACCACACCAAATGCTTTGATGGCTTTTAACTTCAACGCCATGTTTTGGTGCCTTTGGCATAAGCTAGTGCTTCTAGATGAGTATTGAACTAATTTGATATGAGGTTGACTACGGCGAATGCGTTGGAAAGCCATAAATGAAACATACTGATTTTCAATATTTTCTGACTTGTACTTGTGGTACAAGTTATTTAAGTATTCATTTAACACTCTAACCTGGGTGTTCACATTTCCTGGCTGGCATTTTTTTGCATCCTTTTTTTCCTGGCAACATTCTTGAATTGTCATCACGGGAAAGAAACTTGACAACATCATCATGAAGCATACGGTACGATAATCAAATTTTCTTTGTGTTATATGCAGTGTGTTATGTTTTTGTTTTGTACACGTGCAAGCTTGTGACGTTCCAACCCTGTTTTTCTACCAGTACCGAATCATTCTATACTTTATCAGTATTTTACCAGAGATACTGTAATCTGACTCAGTGCATTCTTTTCATTTGTTGTTTTATTTGCCTTTGAAGCTTCATGAATTTCACCAATGATGGCATTTGAGAATGTCATGTGCTTTTTAATTGCATTTCTAGAACGTGATGTGAGAACCACATTCTTTAGTTGTGAGGTTGCCTTTGATCTAGGAGTTTCGCTGTTATCCATGGCATCTTTGGAAGATTTTTCTGAAGGTGTTTTCGGCATTGTGCTTACTGCTCTTTCATAACGCTTGCTTATTTTTTTATTTTGTTTTGCGGCAGATTGTAACTTACGTTCCAGTTCCTCAATTCGCCTATGTGCCCTGCTTAAGGCCCGATTTGTTCTTTTCCTAGTTGAAACCCGCCTTCTAAATTGAAACTTAACACGAAGAGGGCTATGCGGGCGACTTTGTCCGGCAGTCGTACCTGGCGACGATATCTCTGATATGGCTGAATCACTCTCAGTATCACCAAGATCAGGTCGTACTATTTGGTTATTTTCCATATTCTGCTCCTTCAAAGTCTTAATTACTGCTCTGTGTTTTCGAACTCTGACGTTAATCTTCTTTCTTCTTTAGAAATGCCTTTTCTCCCATTTTTTGCTTCTTTCGTTCTCTATAGGCGGCTTGGATCTCAGCCCTTGTTTTACCCATGGTGATTTACTGTTATATACTATGAAAAAAAGAAACAAAAAAAAAAAAAGTTTTTGCTATATAAATTAAACCCTAAGACATTAAATTATATTCAAGACAAGCCAAGTAACCTAGTCTTCGTTTGGAGAGTTGAAACCTACGTTACCATTAGGTCGTACGTGGTAAATATAGTGTGTCTCTATTAAAGAATCTTAATCACATAATATTTGTGATAACATGTAATCTGTGTATGTATAAGGAATATTTCGTGCATACTTACAATGGCTAATTATCTCAAAATAATATACTAGGCCAAAAGAACATAGGGATGTAAAAATTGTAATATACGATACAATATTATGAAACATACGTTACGATCTAATCACATGTTTAATAATCAGCAGACCCCCAAGGAAACTATTGTGTATTTAAAACTTTATTTCAGGTAAAAAATTCAAAACTTAGTGACTTGATTTATATTAATGATGAATAACTCATTTTTAATTGAGTATGCATAATGAAATGTCCAACTTCATGGCCTGGTAACGTATGTTTCATCAATTGTTGCGACACGATAGACTTTAATATAAAAATATATTCTTAGAGGAATGTGATCAAGTTGATTATTTTTTTGCTTGTAGGCAGTACACTAAATTTGTTATATTAACTGATTTTCAAGTGACACACCTCCTTATTTTTAAACTATTTATCAATATATTTAATTTTAGTGATTTGCGACATCAGTTTTTTTAGTTCCTATGCATGTAATGCAATAGGAACTATTGTAATCACTCTTGCTATTTCCTATGTTTTTTATTGTGTGTAGTGTGTATGTGTGTGTAGACATTTATGCAAGTGCGCATGCGTCAAAGAAAAGTTTTCCGACATTTTGTTTTACATCGCGATGCGAAGATCGATGTGAAGTTTCTGCAGAGTTCAGTCAGGGCTCACACTAACCGACCGGAATGTCGGTATGGATGAAACTATTTTGGTTTTACGGCAAAAAAAATCATTTGCTGTAGGCATAGGTATTTTAAAGAAGGCCTAAAATAAAACTAAAATGTTTTAATACTTGCTGAAATACATTGTTTCTTCATTTAAGATCTCCATTTTTCACTTAGTCCATTCGACGTTTTTTTCTGTTGTATACGTATGAGTAGTCATATGAAGGTACTATATCCCCGACAGTTGGCTGTGCAGCAATGTACCCTTTGAATGCAAACTGAAAACAGGTGAAAATATAAAGGCAGCCAACTGTCGGGTACATAACGACTATCTAGCTTTCCACAAAAACATGAGGCCTAAGCTAGGCCTAGTTCAGTATTACTGCGATGCAAGGGTAGGCCTAGTTGGATCATTCATTCAATGATATCGTGTTATCCTCTAATACAATTAAATAATGTGTGTAATATTTAAGAATGCACCACGTGGGTCGCTTTCTTTGTTATGCGATTGTAGTATAGTATACGTAGCAGAGTGACGACAGCAAGCTAAGCCTAGCCCAGGGCATAGATCGTGTACGTTCTTGATAATCGTAATGAAAACTTCGGGTGATAGACGATTGGGCCCAACTGGTGTGGACGATCGGACCCAAGATATTTTCAAATAAATTGTGTAGTCCTAATAGCAAGCCACTGCCAGCACCCCCACTTCCGATATCGTTCCAAACTACGTACTGTAAAATGAAAATACTGTATA